GGGCAGGAGAACAAAAGACAGGAACATTGGGGTATGGCTGGGGCTCTATGCCCAGTGGAGCCCCTGCCTCCTGTGCTCCCTGGGGGCTCTCAGGAACTGGCTGTTTTGGTTCCAGGTGGCCACCCTAAGGGAGAAGCTCCGAGTATATGAGGCGGGAGCCCAGGCCCCACAACAGGACCTCCCACAGCCCCCCCAATCGGGCCATCCACAACAACCGTGAGTCCTGTGGCCCAAACATGCTCCATCCTTCAGCTCAGCAGGGAAAGCCCCCCTCCTTCAGCTTCTGGAGGACTAGGACTCCTTTCTTCTGTTCTGACACCTAGAGTTAGGGGTCCCCACCCAGTGCCTAGCACACCGACTGGCATCCACAATGCTCTGTGTCAAACGAGTAAATGACACCCCAGTCCATATATAAGCAGCATCTACTATTCAAAAGAAGGTACAGTGAAGAGGCTGGTGTCATTGTTTTTCCTAAACCAGAACATTTCTGACTCCTCCGTACCTCAGCTACTGCCCCCTTGTTACCCAAGCATCCATCCTTATGGGCTCTGTCTCACCTGCCCCCTTCCTGCTTTCCCCGCCCCTAAAGCCTCATTTCCCCCTTTGCCTTTCCAGCTCCTCCCTACCGCCCTGCCTTTCCAGCCAGCCCTGCACCCCAGAGCTCCACCCAGGGTCTGCATTCCTTCAAGAGAAGAGCCTGGGGACAGAGGCCCAGGTGGAGAGGGTCATGGAAGGGAGCTCTTCAGACCAGGAGCAGCCCTCAGAGGACAAAGACAAAGGCGTGGCCAAGGAGGTAGGACTTAGAGCTGGTGGAATATTCAAAGAAATGCCCTTTCCAACTCATAGAGTCCCTTCAGTCCCAGGTTCTCTACCTGGATGTCACATCTTAGTCATTAGGAGGCTTTCCGATCCTGTGCAGGAAGGAGAGCTCTTCTGTCAGATCCTGTGTGTCTGAAGTGAGTGTGTGCTGCCAGCAGGGTGGAGACTGAGAGGAAGAAAGCCCCTCTGAGGATCTGGCCATTCCAGGAGCTGTCTTTCCCACTCTTGGAGGAGGGAAAGATTTTGGAAGCTGCTTACATAGGGAGGGAGGTCATCCTGGGCCCTTTACCTGTGACTTCCTTCCTCTTCAGGTTCCGATCCAGGCACCAGAACAGAGCCTCCTACAGTCACTGCCGGAGTCCTCTGACCTGACCCTGGAGCCGAAGCAAGTCATGGGCCACCTCTCACCACAGCACCTGGAAAGGGATCATTTTAAGCAGTAGGTGGCCTCTTACCCTTCTCTGGGGTCCAAGGAGGGAGGTATGGGTTCCAGCCTTGTGGGGTGGGAGTTGGTGCTAAGTCACAAAAGCTCTGGTTCTGCTCTCTTTATGAGTCAAGTCTTTCCCACTACGGTCCGTTATCTGCTTTTTAGCAGTTTGTCTTATTGTCACCTACTCTATTTATTTATCATTTATTTACTGCTCCACATAGCTGGCAGCCCAACAAACAGAAGGGAAGCAAAACAGCAAATTCCATCGCGATAGCTGGTAAGCTCCGAGTTAGGGCAGGGTCACCTGGGCTAGTGCTTTGCTTTCCAGTCTGAGGGCCAAGCTGCCAGTCCTCAGCAAGGAGGGAGCAGCCAAGAGAAGTCAGGTGGCAGGCTCAGGAAGGGACAGCCTTCCTGAGTCAGGTGTTTACCATGTGTCCTCTTCAACAGATGGACTGTAGAGGTTTCTTCTCAGAAGTAAATACAAACCACCACCCAAAGCCAGATAAATAGATTTTGGACCATTCTTTCTGTGCTTAATAGAGAGGTGCTGCTAATATTTTTCCCCCTGGCCCCCAGCACGTAAATCCCCTGCCACTTAGCTCTGCTGCTGCCAACCCCACTCCACCCTCCCCAGTATGCTTCATGCTAGGCAGTGTATTTAAAGCCTCCAGACAGAAGGGCCTGTTTAATTTTATTTCTTGTTGGGGAGTGTCTGTTCCCAACTCAGCAAAAATGCTGCAGCCTGAATAATCAGCAGCTTATTATCTGTCTCCTGCTGCTGACTCCTGGGGGCCCAGCAGTGGCAGGGATGCAGTGGTGGGATATCTCTTCGGAGCCCAGGGAAAAACTGTGGGCTCCCACTTATGACTCAGGGTCTCTCTGCCTGGTGTCCCCCATTGCGAGGAGAGAAGACACCAGAGTTCTCACTTCTGCTGTGCTTCTGGTCTTGTGGCCTCTTACAAGTTGCTTCAGTTGTGGCTGTGATTTAGGGATCAAAACCCTAATTATTCTCCGTACTTCTTTGAGCTGAAGTACTAATAAAGTGTGAGGGAAGACCCCAAGTATTAGGGGTTGCAGAATAGTCTAGATCATCTTCATACTTGGAAACACCCTAACAATCAGGTAATCGAAAATAATTTCTCTTTGGCTTTAAACTTTAGAATCTGAGACCACCAGGGTACTGAGTCAATCTTTGATTTTCCAGTTCAGTGGTTTTCAGAATTTTTGTTTTGTTTTGTTGCAAAGTCCTTTTTTCAAATGAAACCTTATGCTGAAATTAATATGGAAAACAGATAAGGCAGAGCTGCTCCGTTTAAAATGTCCTCGGATGGGTTTCTTCAAACCTAATTAAATACCCCCGATGTACACCAAGTCTCCATTTGTCAGATGGGATACTGAGGCACTTGCCCAGGGCCATGCAACTACAGTGAGAGGGATGGGGCCAGACCTGGTCATCTGACATCCCAGCCGGTACCTTTCTCCTAAACACCCACTTTCCTTCGTGGTCTAATCTTTATACGTGTGGTTCACGCGGATACAGAATGAGTTTCTGCTGTGTCCTTTTTAATTTATATCCTGCCTTCTTTCAAAAAGGCCTGGCGGCTGCTTTAGAAAATGAGCTCGGGTTCCCTGAGCACACACTGAGGGCAGAGGAGGAGGCTCAGAGGTGTCCAGGCAGGTAGATTATGCTACCTGAGGATAAATTATTGGCCATGAATAATCCCCACCAAGATAATTGTGTTTTTTCTTTTATTGTAGGTGTCCCTGACAGAAAGGAAGTTTGCTTTATTAGAATCTAAATTTACAACATCAATAATCACATTACGCTCATAATTTCCCTTAAATAGCCCCTCAGTGCATGTGAAGTGTGCACTGATTCACGCTTTCTCTTTCAGCATCCCAACCATTACATAGAAAGCACAGACTGAAGGCATGTTTGAGGATCCTCTCAGAACCCAGATCACACATCCTATCTTATTTAATCTACTCTTAGCCTAACAAGATGGCATTATTTTTATTTTATAGGAAACAATAGTTAGCTAACCTTATAGTGCTCACTTTTTAGTACATGTGCCAGGTACTCTTTAAACACTCTCTGTATAAAATAGTTCATTTCATCTTCCCAATAACCTGATGAAGTGGGTGCACTTGCTATCCCCATTTAAAGGATGTGGAGACTGAGGGTAAGCAGTGATCCCAGCTCAACAGGTAGGAAGTTCTGGAACAGGGATTTGAGCTGGCAGGCTGGCAGTCTGATATGAGCCTGGCTCTTCACCGCTACCTTTCATTGCCCCTCTGGTAATGAAACTTAGTCAAAATCACTGCATTAACAGGTGGCAGAGCTAAGAAGAAACTCAGACCTTTTGAGTCCAAGGCCACTTAGTGCCCTTTCCGTAATTCCCAGGTCACTGTCTTTGTCAGGAGGCATGTTTAGTGGGTAAAGCCTCCCACCATTACCCGTGACCATCCTGCCAACCTTGGTCTTCAGCAAGGGTGTGGCAGAGCAGGAGCCATGGCTGGGATGGTGGGGAGGCCAGCCCACCTGTGCTCCTCACCACAGCTGGAGCAATGGGGCCAGGTGCATGGCAGAGAGGACCCTGGCCAGCCTCTGAGGAGGATGAGGATCCCCTTCCCTTTGTTCCAGGTTGGCGCTGAAGGTGCTGTGCCTGGCCCAGCGGCAGTACTCCCTGCTCCAAGCAGCCAACCTCCTGACCCCCGACATGATCACAGAGTTTGAGACCCTGCAGCAGCTGGTGCAAGAGGAAAAAACTGGGCCTGGAACAGAGGCCTCAGGGACTCCTGGCCCGGCTGAGGGGACACCTCCTGCTCAGGAGCTGTGTTCAGAGTCAAGTGAGTCTTGCCCCTGCTCTGCCTCTGCCTGTTGGTGCCATCTCCAAAACCCAGCTGGTGCCAAGGGTTAGCTGGGGCCTCAGGTGATGGAATAGGACCCCTGGGATCATGGGACACGCAGAGAGGCCCCAGAAGTCACAACAAAACTGAGGAGTTAGCAGCTCCTGCATATCTCCCATGTCTCTCTCCCCAAATTCTAGAAACTGCCTTTCTTCTGCTCAGTCCCTGATCTCCTCTCAACACCCTCCTTCTCTATACCCAGAGTCTCCAGGATACTCTGGCCCTATGACCCGGACCATGGCAAGGCAACTGAGTGGCTTCATGCACAGTCTGGGGGTCCCACCTGGGCCTGACTACACCTCAGCCCAGGCATCTCTGCAGTCCATGGAGAAGAAGAGAAGAAGGAAACTGAGCCCCTCAGAGCAAGATAGTGCTCCAGCCTCAAAGCCAGGGACCAAGCGCCAACGCCAGTCCTTCTTGCCCTGCCTGAGAAGGGGGTCCCTGCCTGAGACTCAGCCTTCACTTGGACCCACCACCCCCAAAAAGGAAAGGGTCTCCTCCCCCTGCCACTCCCCTCTCTTCTGCCCAGCCACAGTCATCAAAAGCCGGGTGCCTCTGGGCCCTTCTGCTCTGCAGAACTGCTCCACTCCTCTGGCCCTGCCTGCTCGGGACCTCAACATCACCTTTGATCTCTCCGAGGAGCCCCCTTCAAAGCTGGGTTTTCATGAATGCGCTAGCTGGGAAAATGTCCCCCAGAACAGGCTGGATCAGCCCTTCATCCCCAGGTGACTCTCCCTTCCTGCCTTGCAGCCCTCCCAGTAGGGAATCAGGGGTCAGTGAGGGACAGTGGTGATGCCTAAAGGAATGGAAGGCAGCCCAGCTCTTGGAACCTAGACATTTGCTGATCTTTAGTCTGATCAGGTTGCTCCCCAGGCCCAGGAGGGCAGAACATACAGTTTTGTGGAGGCATTGCTACTCGCAGGGGCCTGCCTTGTCTGTCTACTTGAAAACCCCCAGCTCTGTGTGGCTTGTGGCACGCCCATGAGTAGCTACAAATGGGACCCCCACTTGGGAAGGGTCAGCAGGGAGCAGGAATTCATGAGGGCAGTCCATCCCTCTCTGTTCCTCTGCATAATGGGGTCCTTTACCACGATTTGAGTTCTGCATCCCACTAAGAAATACCTCTGCCACTGCCATCCCCAGATTTTACCCTCTAGCCTGGCATCCGGAACCAGGAAGGGGGTGCTCAGAAAACTTCATTCAGCGTTTTTCAGTGAGAAGATGAAGCTCTTACCCCCACCTTCCACACCCATGTGTGGAATAGGAGAATAGCGACCAGCTTAGGACAGTCCAAGGCCAAGAACAAGTGGCAGACTGACCTGGACTTGTGAGGCCAAGGACGGCAGGCCGCCCCCCGCAGCCCCGCCTCTCCCGCAGCCCGAGCCGCCTCAGTAACAAGCTCCAAGCGGGCAGGTGGAAGGGTGAAACTGTTTGAACTCCAGCTCCCTGGGCGCACCAGAAACTGACACCTGGATGTTCTCCCAGAACAGGCCTGTCACTCAGCTGTCAGCCCAGGCCGAGAGGCAGGGAGAAGAATCCTCCTCTTAGTAGGAAGAAGCCTCAGAGGTCATCTTGTCCAGCCTCCCCACCCCCCAAGCTGGGGCTAGAGCGGGGAGGTGCTGGCACCCTTTCCTGGTTCCCTCCTGATCTGCCTCCCCTCATCTTTCTCCTTCCCCCAGTGGACCTGTGCCCCTGTTCACCATGAAGGGCCCCAAGCCAGCGTCTTCCTTCCCTGAGACCTCAGCCCGCAAGAAGAGGCGCATTGTGAGGTGAGTTTGGGGAGGTGTTGGGGAAAGAAGCTTTCACCAGGGTGGTGATGCCTGGGCCAACCACAGGCCTCCGTGTGTCTCTGGACCCCTTGGAGCAGGTAGTGGGAGTCCTGTGAGCAGGGCCGTGTATGGTTGTCTGACTGAGATACCCTTGGCCCTTGCCATTTTAGAGATGAAGGGTATCTCCCTTTTTTGGTTAAAGGCCACAGGGCCCCCCTTCATGAGAGAGGTGTTCAGAGTTCATTGGCTAATCCTGGGAATGGACTACCCACCCCCTCAGCTCTACTTCCCTCCCAAACCCCACAAAGCTTCCTCCCA